CCCCAGTTGCATTTTGAATACCTTCCAACCTGAAGGGCTCATTTTCTGGCACTGTATCTGACAATGTTTCTCTGCTATTCATAAGGTTTTCAGTGACTAAATATTCGGAAGTAGTTCATCACTCTTTCTTCCTAGTCTGTTTTTGGAAGCTTATCTGAAACCTGTCCTCCATGGGTGACCCTGCTGGTATTTAAAATACTGGTGGCACAGCTTTCAGAATCACAGCAACTCAAAAGCCACCACAGTACGACAAACTGACAGATGAGTGGTGGCCATTTGGTTTTAAGTGGAAACTGTCACTTTAAATATCATGGAGATCTGTGTGCATGTGTAATAGAGCCCTCCAGGGTAAGGGATGGGGGTATCCATTCACTCAGGCATCCCCTCTAGTCACCAGAATGGAGGTACACAGACAGCAAGAGACCAATGAACAGATACCCAAGAAAAAAGAATTTCCACACCTGTATCTCGCAGTTCTGTCAGGTGTTAGTGGCTGTTCTGATCCTTACCCCACTTGGTCTCTCCTAATATGGCGGCTCTGGGAGCAGCTAAGCGTCTTGAATTAGAAAGCAGTGGATTTCTTGATTCTGCTACAAATTCCCCTAGCTGTAAACCTTCCAAGCTTCGAAGTATTCCTTTATATGTTGTTCAGAGTTCTAGCACCATCCCCTGAGCCTGCTTGTCCAGTATTCTGTGTTGTTGCTGATGGAGCTCCTTACTGCATGTCTACCTGATCTGCCATCTATAAATATATAGAAAACAGAAATTATTGGTAGTTATCAGGGGAAATAGGGAGAGGGAAGGAAGAGTTTTTGTTTAGAGAGCATAGAGTTTATGTTAATGGTGGTAGAAGGATTGGAAAAGGTTGGAGACACTGTACAACTTGAAGGATGTAATTTTTTGTACATGTATAAATTGTTGAGGTGGCTGTGCTTTGTTATGTATATTTTCACAAATAAAAATAAAAATAAACAAAACAATACAAAAAAACTGTGACTCACAAGAATTAGCTCCAAATAAATTACGGGAGTGGCATAGGACCAAGCAATGTTTTGTTCTGTTGTAAGTGGGGTTGCCATGAATCAGGGCTAACTCCACAACTGCTCACAACAAGTGCAGAGAAAGTCAGGTGTACATCCTATCTTGGGAGCCTTGATGATCCGGTAAATGTATGACTGGTGAGTCTATACATTGGAATATAACCACTGTAGCTGCAAGTATCTATCTGCAGCAAGGCATGAGTGCTAGGGATACATGAATGTACTGGAGAATGTGATGATCAAAAGTCAAATGTAGTTAAGATGCATTACAAATTAAAGTGAAAAACCTAAAAAAAAATAATTTAATTAAATTTCCCATACAATTTAGGTTAAAAGCTCACATTTCCATTTTCAGTCTATCTCTCAGTAGTCTTCAGACAGAACCGCTAACATATAAAGATTATGAGAGCAGGGATTCTGACTGTCTTGTTAACTGATGTGCTGCAGCACCTAGAACAAACAGTACCTCGCATATGGTAGATATTTAATAAATACCTGGTAAATGAGTAAATAATTTACTTAAACAACACCTGTGCCCACCTGGCACTTCCAATTATTGGGGGAAGTTGGGATGGTGGTAAAGACCAAACTTATAGATTGCTGGACACTGATCCTTTGGATAATAAGGCATAGGAAGAATGAAGTTGAAAGAATAATCCAAGAATGGTCCTTTGAAGGATGGGAAAGTAAAATGGAGAAGTCAAAATTCCATAGAAGCACTTATCATCTAACATCTCATGAGTGTCCACTGGGTAGTGGGTTCAGTAGATGAACAAACTGTTTTTGAGGTGTACATTTTGGTAAGGAGCTCTGGTAGCACAGTGGTTATGAGTCGGGCTGCTAATCTCACGGTCCGCAGTTCAAAACTACCAGCTGTTCCATGGGAGAAAGATGAGGGTTTCTGCTCCTGTAAAGATTTACAGTTTCAGAAATCCTGTACAGGGTCGCTATGAGTCAGAACTGACTCCACAGCACATAACAACAACAACAACAACTACAACATTATGGTAAAGACTGAAGTGAAAACAACTACAAAATGGGACATGGTGTTGTTGTTAAGTGCGGTTGAGTCGATTCCAACTTATAGTGAAATTGCATAGGGTTTCCGAGAAGCAGCTGATGGGTTTGAACCACTGACCTTGTGGCTTACAGTCCTGTACTGATCCTACAGTGCCACACTGGGAATCCAAAATAGGACATGGGACTTAGTCAAGGTTTGTAAAAAGTGTTAAGGAAAGTAGATGGGAAGAGTAAATAAGTGCCTTGGAGAGGAGGTTAAATTTGAGCTAGGCATTGAAGCATGAGTTCCTTATTTGCCAAGTGCACAAGAGGAAAGGATTGTCCAAACAGAGTAGCAAAAATTTCATGTCATGCTGTGAGAACAGGGGGGACTTCAGCTTGTTGTGCATAGTGGGCAATGACATCAATGGATGCACAAAGAACCTAGACTTTTAGGTGCAAAGAGTTCCTAGAGATGGTGTCTTAAGGAAGATCATCTGTAAGGCACACACTTAACGGCTTATGTGCTATATCATGTTGTATGCAAAACATTGCTTTCATCCTTTTAGTCAAGAACTGAAAAAGGACAACGTGTAAATAAAAGTATTAAGAAGTTACATGAAGGTTTTTATGAGACAACATAAAATGATGAGAGGAACATAAAATGCAAATGAGAGGAAAGAAGAAAATGACAGTTGAAAATACTGTCTCAAAGAGCATAAATCTACGAACACATGGCACATATATAGAAAAAAAGCTTAAACAAACTTACAAAGCAACATATAAATAAGTGCAAACAAATGCAATATAAACTGAGTTCCTGGTGAACACAGAATAAACAAGAACCAGTAGTGGGTGTAGAGAACCAGGGAATGCTTCCCGGAGGAGGCAAATTTAGTTTATACTAAATAGTTTATACTAAACTTAGTTTATCTTGGTTAAATTCAGTTTATACTAAATCAACCCAAACTCAAAAAATAGAGGCCAGCCAAAATTTGCCCCACCTTCCCACTGACAGTTTCACTTGTAGCTTGGACTGATTTTATGTTCACCACAATGAACCCATCCATTACTTGGTACACTGAACAGTCTATTTCCTAAGCTGTGGACACCCATTAGGTACCCCATCCAATTTCTCATAGACAACTATGACTCTCAGATTTCCTGTGGCTTCAGGAGTATCGGATAAGGTTACCCTAGACCACAAGAAAGGAATTATCTAAAAATTTTTGGTATAAATCTCACTTCTCTTGAATAAGCAGGCTCACCTTTTCAGTTTTCTGCTTCCCAAAGCCCTGTCAGCTGTTCGTCTTAAGATCAGCAAATATAATATCAACTCATGTGGGGACTTAACAATGTTCAATAAAATGCAGTTATGTTGACATTATGTAGGGTCTCTTGGGTACCTTGTTGTTGTTAAGTGCCTTCAAGTCAGTTCCAACCCATAGCGACCCTGTATAAGGTTGAACCACCAACCTTGCAGTTCAAATGACTTTGCAGTCTGGCACATTAACCCATAGCACCACACCAGGACTCCATTGGGCACCTTAGCCACCTCCTATATCTGCCTTTTGGTTTGACACACTTAGCAACCTGCAAGAGCCTATCTCAATTTCCTATAGATGGAATAATAAAACTCAAATTTCCAGTTTTATTTATTTGAAAGTCATTTGTATTTCATTCACTTAGAAAAAGGATGTGTGAGTATAAAATAATTCCTCACCATGAAGATCTCTAAGCTAGAATATTAGACTGCTTGCTGTCAAACAGGTTGCCTCCCCTAACGGTAGATTTAAAAGATATTTAATAGTTAAAAACAAGAGGACTTTTAATTTAAATGATGGGGGATGGGGAAGGGCAGGAGAAGACTGATAACCAGATTAAGTTGCTCAGGCAACTTGCTGTTAATGCCCCATGACATCAGTTCTGATCATAGCAACCCTATATAGGGTTTCCTAGGCTTTAAATCTTTGCAGAAGTAGAAAGTCCCATCTTCTCCCACCAAAATGCTATTGCTGTTGTTATTGCGTGCCATCGAGTCAGTTCCGACTCATAGCGACCCTGCAGAGGGTTTCCAAGGAGTGGAAACCTCTGATCTTGTGGTTCAAACTGACCTTGTGGTCCAGTGCTTTATCCCACAGTACCACACCAGGACTCCATAATCCATGAAATTAACTACTACTCCTCCCTTCATTGACTCAGGCAACTAAGCACTCTCAAATGAAAAAAGGAAATACAAATGAAAGAGCAGGTGCAGAGGAAGTAGATGAGTTCAACTTTTTAGCACATTAGGTTTGAATTACTTGTGGGTAGATAGCACTTGGACACTTCAGTACTGTATCCTGTCTGCACATGTACTATTTACTTTCATACTTTTTGTCAATAGCAGAAAGAAGGCAATGTGTGGGTAAAGGTATTAAGAAATTACATGGAGGTTTCTATGTACTGGACTCACTTGATTTGTTTCGGTATTCTGGAGAGCAAATCAGGAGAAAAGAAAGAACAAACAATATACATCACACATCTTATAGCTTTATGTAAAGCTGACTGCTTCAAATGGGAAACTCATCTTCAGAGAGACTCTAGGAAACAATTTCAGAGGGGCCCTATGAAACAGCTTGAAAGGCATATTCTGAAACAATCCCCAAAAAGTCTGTTTAGGGGAAGAAAGGAAAAATTATCTAACTGCTGGTTCCATTATTCAGGTTTTGTCCTTTGAGGTGTTAACTACATTGTATTTCACTTCTGGGTTTCATATAAATATGTGCTGTGCAAAAACTTCCACAGTCTCAGTGGCAACAGAGAAGTCACAGTATGGGGTACAAAAAATGCATAGCATAGGTATGAAGTGAGGCCACAATCTGCTTGTGTCCACAAGCAACATAAGGGATCTTGCTTAGTTGTAACCAAGCTCTACTGGCAACAACAGGCACTCAGAAGGTAAGGCAAGGCATGGCTTTGGCATGGTCCATCAATTAAATCTAGCATACCTTTTTTTACTATTTTTATAGTCCTAAATCTGGTTGGATCAATTGGATGAGATTCATATTTGTGACCATTCCAAAGAAAGGTGACCCAATGGGATGTGGAAATCATCAAATAATATAATTAATATCATGTGTAAGTAAACTTTTGCTGAAGATAATGCAAAACAGTTATAGCAGCTGCCAGTCAGGGAGCTGCCAGAAATTCAAGCCAGACTCAGAAGAGAACATGGAACGAGGGGTATCATTGCTGGTGTCAGATGGATCTTGGCTGAAAATAGAGCATACCAGAAAGATGTTTAGTTATGTTTTATTAACTATGCCAAGACATTTGACTATGGATCATAACAAACTATATATAATATTGTGAATAATGGGTGTTCTAGAACACTTAATTGTGCTCATGAGGAACCTGTACATTGACTAAAAGGCAGGGATACTGAATGGTTTAAAATCAGGAAAGGTATACACAAGCATTGTATTCTTTCACCATTATTTAGCAAATAATCCAAAAAGATGGATTATATGAAGAACAACATGGTATCAGGATTAGTTGTCAAATCATTCATTCTTCTTGGACCCACAATCAATGCTTATGGAAGGAGCAGTCAAGAAATCAAATGATGTATTGCACTAGGCAAATATGCTGCAAAAGACTGCTTTAAAGTGTTGAAGAACAATGCCAATTAGAGGATTAAATTGCACCTGACCCAAGCCATATATAGGGATAGAGAACAAACACTCCAAAATGGACACCCTAATTTCAACCTAAACCATTATCTGCTATCCCTTTCCCCTTCTCCTGCTATGCACACTGAAAATCTTGGTTCTTTAGGCATGGGCAGACAACCCCTGCTCCTGCTCTGCGTACCGAACTCTTTGTTCTCATGCTTTAGTTATACATATGCTAGGGAGGGGCAGATGTGGCTCTGGCACCTTGTGGTTTTCCTGCCTTTCTGTGTTCCACATACCACCCTTAACTACCCTGACTCATGAGGCTTGTTTACCCCCTAATATAAAAAGACTCTGGCACAGGTCCCTGGCACAGAATCTTGACTGTCCAGTTGACCACCACTGGATGCAGTACTGCTGTCCCAGTCAGTAAGTTTCCCTTGGAAATAAACTAATGTCTCTTGAACTATCTCTGGGTCAGTTTTTCGGTCTCTCAGCAACTACCTACATGGAAGGGTTCTCCCTTCTGGGCTTAAACCCTAACATGATGGTATTTTCAATCACCTATATGAATGTGAAAGTTGGATAATGAATAAGGAAGACTGCAGAAGGACAGATGCATTTGAGTTATGGTGTTGGCAAAGAATATTGAAAGTATTATGGACTGCCAGAAGAACAAACAAATATATTGGAAGAAGTACAGCCAGAATGCTCCTTAGAAGTGAGGATGGTGAGATTTCATCTCTCATTATTTGGACATGTCAGCAGGGGCCAGTCCCTGGAGAAAGACATCATGCTTGGTAAAGTGGAGGATCAGCCAAAAAGGGGAAGCCCCTCCCCACTCCCCGCTCTAATGAGCTGGCATAGCGGCAACAATAATGGGTTATAACATAACAATTGTGAGGATGGCACAGAGCAGTGAGTTGGAATTAACTTGACAGTACCTAACAACAACAAATCTGGTTTAGTATCAAATTGGTTATGCCTGGATTATCTCAACTGACTCTTAACCCTCTTTCATGCTTTTATTCCTTCCCTTCTTTAAATTAATTTAGTTGCTGGTTAAATCAACAGGCCATAAAATGTTGTTAGACAATGGCTACTCTTGTTCATCATATCAAATCAAAGCGTTCAGTTAGGTCTCAACTCCCCTTTTGCCTTGTTTCCCCCTCCTCTTCACAACTATGCAGTAAAAACCAGTTGCCATGGAGCTGCCTCACAGTGACTTCATGTGTGTGTACATTATAGGGTTTTCAGTGGCTGATTTTTCAGAAGCCTTCATATCAGAAAAACTCTCCTCCTTTCTAAATTTCTCTCTTTATAAAAAGTATAATAGTTAAGAGTTCATGAATACTTACTACGTGGTATACCTTGCTAAGCGTTCTACGTGTAACATCCCAGTTAGCCTGTAGAAAAACTCTTTGAGGTAAATACTATTATTATCTATATTTTATAAAACTGTTAACTGGTATTTGGAAAGATTAGGCATTTTGCTCAAGATTTTATGGTAAATAACTTGAACCTTGGTTTGTCTAAATGCTTATCTTCAGGAAGACTCTTTGTTAGTCAACTCAATAGTGACAACATTATTGTACTGAGAATGATCAGCAGTAACAATGTACTTTCATTATGCTATTTTGTAACTTTTGACATATTACTTTATTAAGTGTTCTTAAGCCTTTGCTGTTATATGCAAATCAGAGAGGCTGATTTTCCAAACAAGGCTCTAATCTCGGAGAACTCAGTTAGTCTAGGATCTGACTTTTATTTTTTACACAGGGGGTCTTCAAAAAGTTCATGGAAAATGCATATTATGAAAAAAGTATGCAAGGATTTCTAAAAAATTTTGCACCAAAATAAACTCATACTAACTTGTATATCTAGTTTGAGGATCTAGTTTGAAGGACTATGAAAGATAAGACATCAGTTTGGAAAGAGGCTCCTATCAAAGCAACAGAAATTCTGCTAAAATTGAAACAAGAACCAATATCAAATTTATGGTAAAGCATGCAGGAGAATGGTGAAATTTTTTTGATAGGTACAATTCCCCAAAGAAATCAGCAGTTTACAAATGGATAACTCATTTTAAGAAGGATCAAAGATGAAGTCTGCAGTAACAGACCATTCACATACATTTATTATTATTATTATTATTATTATTATTATTATTGTGAACTGAGTGATAGCTTACATGGGAGAACATTGTTTCATTGCAATGATTACAATATCCTCTGTGTATCATCATTCAATAGTATTTGCTTCCATTCCCTCTGTTTTTCTTTTTTGGGGGGAAGGTGGGGAGATATACACAAAAACACTTAGGAATTTATAATAATTTAAACAACCAAAGGACACATTCTGAAATCTTGTCTCTTAGCCTCCAGCACTCAGTTCCTCTCTTTTCATGAGTCTAGCATCCTCTGCTGCTTCCTCTCTCCATGTCCTCATCTCTGCCTCCATCTCTGGTGTCACTGCTTCTCTGGATAGGGTCCCACATTCCACTTGTGTTCTTCTCCCTTGATAGTCCTAGGGTCCTCTGT